AACTTTTGAGCTGACGTCATCAGTTTTTTGTAGAAGATAACCAAATATATTTTGACTAAAAATTTATTATGCTCTTTATAACCTTAAAACATCTGCAAGATTTCAAAGCATTCGGTTTTGTAGTTACTGATTAAATCAATAAAATAAATTTACGCATTCATTAATTTTTTTGAGTCACCCTGTATATGCAAATCGAAAAAATTTGAATGGAATGATAAATCACAAGAAGAGACTCACCATATTTTGTACATTCTAGATATGATTTATTCGGCAAATTTTCGAGCTGACGTCATCAAGTTTTTGGAGGGGATAAGCAAATATATTTTGACTAAACATTTATTATGCTCTTTATAACCTTAAAACATCTGCAAGATGTCAGAGCATTCCGTTTTGTAGTTCCTGATTAAATCAATAAAATATATTTACGCATTCATTAATTTTTTTGAGTCACTCTGTATATGCAAATCCAAAAAATATGAATGGAGTGATAAATGACAAGTACAAGCTCATCATATTTTGCACATTTTAGATATGATTTATTCGGCAAACTTTCTAGCTGACGTCATCAAGTTTTTGGAGGGGATAAGCAAATATATTTTGACTTAACATTTATTATGCTCTTTATGACCTTAAAACATCTGCAAGATTTCAGAGCATTCGGTTTTGTAGTTCCTGATTAAATCAATAAAATATATTTACACATTCATTAATTTTTTTGAGTCACCCTGTATATGCAAATCCAAAAAATATGAATGGAGTGATGGATCACAAGTACAGGCTCATCATATTTTGTACGTTTTAGATATGATTTATTCCACAAACTTTTGAGCTGACGTCATCAAGTTTTTGGAGGGGATAAGCAAATATTTTTTGACTAAAGATTTATGATGCTCTTTATAGCCTTAAAACATCTGCAACATTTCAAAGCATTCTGGTTAGCAGATTAAAAATTAAATTTCAAAATGTTGTTTTATAATTTTGATTTTTTTTCCAAAAATCTGGACGTTTCGGGTGAAAAGTCGATTCAGAGTTGTAAACTACATGTGTAGGACTATGTTATTTTATACAATTGAAAACCCATTTACTATGTACAATTTTGAAGTGACGTCATCGCATTAGTGGTGGGGATGATTAGACAAATTTTGGTTAGCGTTTTACCATCTACATGATATTCTTAATATAAGTACAAAATTTCACAACAATCGGTCGAGTGCTTTCGGAGATTATCTGTCTAATAAAAATCCGGGACAACAGACGGACAGACGGACAGACGGACGGACAGACAGACGGAAATGGGAGACCTATTTCTTCGTCTTCTAGGGGTCATGAAAGATCGAGAAAACGTAAAAGTAGAGAGTCGGCCGACGGACTCGATTACAATACTTCCTTTGCTTACGCTCGGGAAGTAAAAATCAAAAATGAACGAACGAAAAAATATAAAATGAAAACTTTGAAAAATCTAAAAAATTGGAAATCAAGAATATGAAAATTTGAAGCAACGAAAAACTCAAAAATCGGTAAAAATAAAAAATTGAGATAAACTTGAAAATCGAAAAAGTGCAAAATCGAAAAGATCGAAATTTCGAAAAACTGAATAAACGAAAAATTATAAAATCAAATAGAACACCGAAAAATAAAGAAAAGGAAGAAACGAAAAATTGGTTTGTAAAATCAAGAAAAAGAAAATTAAAAAATCAGGAATTTGAAAAATTGGAGAAACGAAAAATTGAAAAATTGTGAAAAAACAAAAAATCGGTAGAGTCGAGATTTTTCGAAAAATTATAAGATTTGATTTTGCGAATTTTACTTTTTAATTTTATTTTTGCTTTTTCCCTTTTTGGATTTTTTGGACTCTTCAGATTTTTTTCTCTTTGTTTTCTTATTTTTCTTTATTTCTTGGGTGTTTGAACTTTTTGGAATTTCTAGAATTTTTTGGTATAACAATTTTTCTTCAATTCTTGAATTATTGGATTCTTTGTTTTTTATTTTTCTTTTTTTGGAATTTCATAAAAATAATTTTTGTTGGGGTTTTCAATGTTCTAATTTTTAATTTTTCTTTTGTCAACGCGAGATTTTCCAAATTTTTGGATTTTCAGTTTTGATTTTTTTAGTTTTTGTTTCTTCAGTTTTTCAATTTGCGATTTTCCAATTTTGTCATTTTTTTGCTTCAATTTTTAATTTTTAAATTTTCCATTTCTTCAAATTTATCGTTTGGGTTTTTTATTTTTTATTTTATAATTTTTTGTTTTTACAATTTAAATTTTCTGAATTTTCCAACACTTGGATATTTCTATTTTTATTTTCTTAATTTTTCCAATTTTTGGGTTTTTCAATGTTCTAATTTTTAATTTTTCTTTTTTCAATGTGTGAAATTTCCCAATTTTTCGATTTTTCAGTTTTTCGTTTCATTTCTTCAAGTTTTTCGTTTCGGTTTTTATTTTCGTTATTTTTACAGAACTGTTGGATGCAATATTTTTCGGTTTCTAATTTTTCTATTTTTCGATCTGCAATTTTTATTTTTATAATTGTTCCAGTTTTTCGTTTTTTCAGTGTTCTGATTTTATCAATATTAATGTACATATTTTTTCAGTGTAAAATTTTTCAGTTTCAGGATTTTTCAATTTTTCGATTTGCAATTTTTTGGTTTTCAATTTTTTGACTTTTCAACATTTAGATTTCATGATTTTTCAGTTTCTCGTTTCTTCATTTTTCTTCGTTTTCATTGTAATATATAAAAATAATTTTAATTTTTAAAATTTCAACTTTCTCAATTTGTAATTTTAGAATTTTTCCATTTTCAATTATTGAAATTTACGATTTTCTCATTGGCATTTAGAATTTTCTCAATTATTCGATTTTTCAATTTTTCGATTTTTCAAATTTTCAAATCAAAAAATAGGAAAAATTGCAATATTGTAAAATTGAAAAATCAAAAATGAACAAACAAAAAAGTATAAAATGAAAACTTTAATCTCAATCTAAAAAATTGGAAATCAAGAATATGAAAATTTGAAGCAACGAAAAACTCAAAAATCGGTAAAAATTAAAAATTGACATAAACTTGAAAATCGAAAAAGTGCAAAATCGAAAAGATCGAAATTTCGAAAAACTGAATATACGAAAAATTAGAAAATCAAATGGAACACTGAAAAATAAAGAAAATGAAGAAACGAAAAATTGGTATGTAAAATCAAGAAAAAGAAAATTAAAAAATCAAGAATTTGAAAAATTGAAGAAACGAAAAATTGAAAAATTGTGAAAAAACAAAAATCGGTAGTCGAGATTTTTCGAAAAATTATAAGATTTGATTGTGCGAATTTTACTTTTTAATTTTATTTTTGCTTTTTCCCTTTTTGGATTTTTTGGACTCTTCAGATTTTTTTCTCCTTGTTTACTAATTTTTATTTATTTCTTGGGTGTTTGAACTTTTTGGAATTTCTGGATTCATTTGGAATTTCTAGAATTTTTTGGTATAACAATTTTTTTTCAATTCTTGAATTATTGGATTTTTTGTTTTTTATTTTTCTTTTTTTTTTTGGAATTTCATAAAAAAATTTTTTTTAATTTTTCGAATTTTTCAATGTTCTAATTTTTAATTTTTCCTTTGTCAACGTGAATATTGCCAATTTTTGGATTTTCAGTTTTGATTTTTTTAGTTTTTGTTTCTTCAGTTTTTCAATTTGCGATTTTCCAATTTTTTCATTTTTTGGTTCAATTTTTAATTTTTTAATTTTATATTTCTTCAAATTTTTCGTTTGGGTTTTTTATGTCTTTATTTTATAATTTTTTGTTTTTACAATTTAAATTGTCTGAATTTTTCAACACTTGAATATTTCTATTTTTTTTGCTTAATTTTTCCAATTTTTGGGTTTCTCAATGCTTTAATTTTTAATTTTTCTTTTTTCAATGTGTGAAATTACCCAATTTTTCGATTTTTCAATTTTTCGATTCATTTCTTCAAGTTTTTCGTTTCGGTTTTTATTTTCGTTATTTTTACAGAACTGTTGGATGTAATATTTTTCAGTTTTTAATTTTTCTATTTTTCGATCTGCAATTTTTTTTTATAATTATCCCAATTTTTCGTTTTTTTCAGAGTTCTGATTTTATCAATGTTATTATCACTTTATATACAAATATTTTTTTGTGAAATTTTTCAGTTTCAAGATTTTTCAATTTTTCGATTTGCAATTTTTTGGTTTTCAATTTTTTGACTTTTCAACATTTAGATTTCATGATTTTTCAGTTTCTGTTTCTTCATTTTAATATATTAAAATAATTTGAATTTTTAAAATTTCAACTTCCTCAATTTGTAATTTTGGAATTTTTCCATTTTCCAATTATTGAAAAACTTAAAACATGGTTAAAATGGTAAATTCTTGTAGATAAATATGGATCTTGCAATTAAGCCCCGCCCCTCGATTTGACAACGAATGAAATATTCGTTACAAATGAGAATTGAGATTGGGGCGGGTATGAATGGGGTCTAATTTTTGGCTTTATTTATTTCTTATACTGAAATATACACGATACTCAAAAACATGTTTTTAATTTCTTGTCAAGAAATAAGGATTTTGCAGTTAAGCTCCACCCTCTTGGCTCACGACGAATAAAAAAAATCATCCCATTTGAGATGGGTGGGTGGGCGGGGCTTAATATTTAGCCGTTTTTGCTTAATATGTGTAGACTTATTTCGACAACTAACACAAATTTTGTTACAAACTTTCCATTCAAATCCAAGGATGTCTCGATTACAAATTATGCTGCTCGTCCGACACAATTGACATTAAACTCCAGTAACATTCGTTTGTATTTGTAATGTCCATTTCGCGTCCATCCAAACCCAGCTTCCGTCCTGCCGGAAACTAAAAAGCTCCGCTTCCTCCCTCAAAGTACCAGACAAACAGCGCCTTCAGTCTTACAATCCATTTCGCCCCGAAGAATTCCCAGTTTGTCCCAATTCTGGTCGATTATTCAAAGCTCAAAGTCAATATTTGTTCCAGTTGCTGTGGTTGCGGCGTTCTTTATCTGCTGGGCTCCATTCCACGCCCAAAGACTGCTCGCTGTGTACTTATCCAACGCCAGTAAGGAGGCCCAGGAAACCACCATGACCATATACATGGTACTGATGCACGCCTCCGGGATCTTGTACTTCATGTCCACCACCATCAACCCGGTCCTCTACAACATCATGTCCAACAGGTTCCGCGAAGCTTTCAAGGTGAGACAGCGTAGCTGCTGAAACGCGTCACGTGTTTTTTTTTCACCGCCGCCTCGATGGTGTTTAGACGTCGAGCAATTTAGCGAAAAATCGCCTACCTTCCGGTTCATTACACATTACCATAAATTTCCACTGTAAACTGTGCGTCATCGTGTTCTTGAATAAAGAAATGTGACAAGCGTATGCATAATTAATGCGAAGAAATTCGAAGCCTACCATTAGTGCAAAAAATCGCGATAATAATCGATTCGGAGTCTGGCGGGAGTCGTTTAACGGTTGGCAGCACTGCGACAGATGTACACTCCACTGCGGATTAATAACAATAATGAAATTAGCCTCAAGTTGGAGGATAACTGCGAAATTCGCGCTCCGCGTCTTCACTTTACAGCGGAATTTATGAAAATGGAAATCGCTTTCGACTACAAAGTAAAAAATAAAATTCAGTTCGGAGTAATTACAGCATCTGATACGCAAACGATAGCCGATCCATATTCATGAAAACGAAATGAGGGATATATGAATAATGATAAGGGAGTTTGTTATTGGCAACACTGCTCGTGACCCGATAAGCCGTTTTCTTTGACGTTTGTTTTTTAATTACGGGGAATTTGGAGATCGGGTTGGCACAATGTGGGTATAATGGGCTGTGTTAAAGATCTCGTGCATAATAAAATTTTAGGCTATTGTGTTGGCGGCCCTGTCATGTACACATCTAGGGTGCTTTATTGAGTTGATGAGGTCTATGGAGAGCTCGGAACGAACACTGGATTAATTAGATTAAGGGAAGTCGACAAAATTTAAACCCTTGAAGAAAGGAAAAACATTGCTTTTAATTCGCTGGAATACGAAAAATAGGTCAAGTCCGTCTGTCAGAATTTTTCTTAGATAGATAATCTGCGAAACTACTGGATTCATTGTTCGTTTTTCTTTTTCTTTTTGATTTTACAATTTTCTGATATCACAATTTGTCTTCAATATCCCCATTTTTCAACGTTTCGGTTTCATAATTTTTTGTTTTTTCCATTTTTGGAATTTTTGGACTCTTCAAATATTTTTGGATGTTTTGAATTATTGGATTCTTTGTTTTTTTATTTTTCTTTTTTTTATAATCTCTGGATTCATTTGCTTTTTTGAATTTTTGGCAATTTGATTTTTTTTGGAATTTTTGCCATCTTGGAACTTCTTAATTTTTTTGGATTGCTGAATTCTTTTGGAATAATTGGAACTTTCGGAATTTTTAAATTTATTTGGGGATTCTTGGATTTTTATTTTTTTTTTTGATAATTTGGAATTTTTGAATTCTCTTGGAATTTTTGAATTTTTTTGGATTTACTGAACTCTTTTGGAATATTTGAAATTTTTGGAATTATATATATATTAGGCGTTTCTTGAATTTTTCATTTTTTGGATTTTTTTTATCTGCTTGAAAATTTGGTAATTTTTTGTGGTGTATTTGGAATTTTTGGATTTTTTTTTTATTTTCTTGGATTTCCATTGGAATTTTTAGAATATTTTGTTATTACAATGTTTCTTCAATAGTCACATTTTTAATGTTTTGGCTTCATAATATTTTATTTTTCCATTTTCAGATTTTTTTGGATTTTTGAGTTTTTTGGGGTTTTTGAATTGTTGGATTTTTTTGGATTTTGTTTTTCTGTTATATTTTATTTTTTGTTTTTTTTTTCTAGTTTTTGGATTTTTTTATTCTTTCAGTTTTTTGGACTTTTTATTTATTTTGGATAATTTTGTATTTTTTTTTGGGGTTTTTCTGAAATTTTTGCATTTTTTGATATTTTGGATTTTTTTGGAATTTTTGGATTTCCTTGGAATTTTTGAATTTTTTGGATTTTCTGGATTCTTTTAGAATAATTGGAAATTTTGTATTTTTTTTGGAATCTTTAGATTTATAGGGATTTCTTGAATTTTTTTAATCTGCCTAGAGCCTTTGGATTTTTTATTTATTGTTAAGTCTTTGGATTTTTTCTTGGTTTGTTTGGATTTCCATCGGAATTTCTAGATTTTTTTGGTATAACAATATTTCTTCAAAATTCCCATTTTTCAACGTTTCGGTTTCATAATTTTTTGTTTTTTCCATTTTTGGATTTTTTGGACTTTTATTTATTTTTTTTGATTTTTTGAATTGTTGGAATCTTTTTCTTATTTTTCTTTATTTTGGATGTTTTTGAACTTTTTGAAATTTCTGGATTCATTTAGATTTTTTGGATTTCCGTTGGAATTTTTGAATTTTTTTGATAATTTGGATTTTTTTGGATTTTTTGGATTCGTTTCTTGCATTTTTGGATTTCTTGGTTTTCTTTGAATCTGCTTGGAATCCTTGGAATTTTTGTTTTTTTAAGTATTTGGAATTTTTGGATTGTTTGGATTTCTATTGGAATTTTTAGAATTTTTAGTATCACAAATTTTTCTTCAATATTCACATTTTACAGCGTTTCTGTTTCATAATTTTTTGTTTTTTCCATTTTTGGATTTTTTGGGCTCTTCAGATTCTTTGCTTTTTTATTTTTCTTTTTTTATAATCTCTGGATTCATTTGGTTTTTTGAATTTTTGGTAATTTGAATTTTTTTGAAATTTTTGCCATTTTCTTGGAATTTCTTATTTTTTTTGGTTTGCTGAATTCTTTTCGAATAATTGGAACTTTTGGAATTTTTAGATTTATTTGGGGTTTCTTGAATTTTTAAATTTTTTTTGATAATTTGGAATTTTTGGAATCTCTTGGAATTTTTGAATTTTTTTGCATTTACTGAACTCTTTTGGAATAAGTGAAATTTTTGAAATTGATATATCGGGGTTTCTTGAATTTTTCATTTTTTGATTTTTTTTGTATCTGCTTGAAAATTTGATAATTTTTTGTGCTGTATTTGGAATTTTTGGATTTTTTTTCCTGATTTTTTTGGATTTACATTGGAATTTTTAGAATATCTTGTTATCACAATTTTTGTTCAGTATATCCATTTTTAAATGTTTCGGCTTCATAATTTTTCATTTCTACCATTTTCAGATTTTTTTTAATTTGTTAGTTTTTTGAATTGTTGGATTTTTTGATTTTGTTTTTGTTATTTTTAATTTTTTGTTTTTTTTTGGTTTTTTTGAATTTTTGAAATTTTCGGAATATGTATTTGGAATGTGCGGAATGTTCCAAATTTTTGGATTTTTTTGGATTTTCCTGATTTTTTGAGGTTTCTTGAATTTTGTTTTTTTTTGTATGTGCTTGTACTTTATGAAATTTATGTATTTTCTGCTTTTTTTGGATTTTTTTGGAATTATTGGATTTTTTGATGTTTTGGATTTTCTTGGAATATTTGAATTTTTTGGATTTTCTGGATTCTTTTGGAATAATTGGAAATTTTGGATTTTTTTGGAATTTTTAGATTTATTTGGGATTTCTTGGATTTTTTCTTAAGTATTTGGATTTTTTTTAGATTGTTTGGATTTCCATTGGAATTTCTAGAATTTTTTGGTATTACAATTTTTCTTCAATATTCCCATTTTTCAATGTTTCGGTTTCATAATTTTTGTTTTTTCCATTTTTGGATTTTTTGGATTTTTTAGATTTTTTAGATTTTTTTCGATTTTTTGAATTGTTGGACTCTTTGTTTTCTTATTTTTCTTTATTTTTTGGATGTTTGAACTTTTTTGAATTTCTGGATTTATTTGGATTTTTTGGATTTCCGTTGGAATTTTTTTTTTTTTGATAATCTGGCTTTTTTTGGATTTTTTGGATGTCGATTGGGATTTTTAGAATTTGCTGATGTCATAATTTTTCTTCAATACATATTTCCATTTTTCAATATTTCTGATTCATATTTTTTTTCAATTTTTGGATGTTTTTGGATTTTTTACATTTTTTAGATTTTGTGGGTTTTTTGAGTTGTTGAATTTTTGTTTTATTGTTTTCTTGGATTTTTTAAAGCTTTTCGATTTTTGAGTTCTTTTGAATTCATTAGATTTTTTAGAATTTTCGGAATTTTTAGAATTCGCGGAATTTTGGTAAGTTTCGGAATTTTCGAAATTTTAGGAATTTTTGGAATGTCCAGAGTTTTTGGATCTTTTTGGATTTTCGGAATGTTCGAAATTGTCGGAATTTTTGGAATGTTCGGAATTTTTGATATTTTTGGAATATTGGGAATTTTTGATATTTTTGGAATGTTCGGAGTTTTTGATATTTTTGGATTTTCGAAATTTTCGGAATTTTGGAGATGTTTGAATTGTTGGAAATTTTTGGATTTTTTTGCATTTTCTAGATTTTTTGGGGGTTTATTGAATTTTTGGATTTTCTAGATTTTTTTTATTTTTTTATTTTTATTTTTTTTTTATCTGCTTGAAATTTTGGTAATTTTTTGTGGTGTATTTGGAATTTTTGGCTTTTTTTTGGAATTTGTAGGTTTTTTGATGCTTTGAATTTTTTAGGAATTTTTGGTTTTGCTTGAATTTTTCAGATTTGGGGTTTCTTGATTTTTTGGAGTTTTTGGATTTTTTTTATCTGCTTTGAATTTTTTCCATTTTTAGGGATTTCTGCAATTTTTCATTTTTTGGATTTGTTAGTTTTTTGGGGTTTTTGAATTGTTGGATTTTTTGGATTCTGTTTTTCTGTTATTTTTTATTTTTTGTTTTTTTAAGTTTTCGGATTTTTTATTCTTTCGGTTTGTTGGATTTTTTGTTTGTTTCGGATATTTTTGGACTTTTGGCTTTTTTTGAATTTTTTAAATTTTCGGAATATGTATTTGGAATTCGCGGAATGTTCCGAATTTTTGGATTTTTTTGGATTTCCCAGATTTTTTGGGGTTTCTTGAGTTTTGGGTTTATTTAATGTGCTTGGAATTTATGAAATTTATGTATTTTCTGCTTTTTTTGGATTTTTTTGGAATTTTTGGATTTTTTAATATGTTGGAATTTTTTTGAATTTTTGGATTTTCTTGGAATTTTTGAATTTTTTGGATTTTCTGGATTCTTTTGGCATAATTGGAAATTTTGGATTTTT